TGTAGCCTTGAGCAGAGCTCAGGGCCAGCCAGGGCAGGCGGGAAGCTTGGCTTCCTCCATCGCCGAGGCAACCAAGCCTCCTGCTGGCTCCAGCTTCGTGGCCCCCACCATCTTTGTGACAGAGTGATGGAGTGAGGGTGTGATGGTTAATTTGCATATTACTCTTTTATTTGCTAGGATTCTGCTATTCTTTATGCTAAAAATCACAGTCTGGTATTGACACTGAGGCAATAAACTACCTTTTTAGTTGAGACTGGTACAGATCACATTGTGCAGCATGCTGAGTGGATGGAGGGGAGTCTCGGGAGGGCCCGGGGGTGCTCTGGCCCCTCTCCCCAGATGCTACCCGGCATGCAGAGCTCAGGGCTGCTCTTTTTCCCTTCGCAGAGCAAACAGAGCTCTTCCTATTCCGATAGAGACACTACTGAAGAGGAATCCGAATCCCTAGATGATATGGATTTCCTCACCAGGCAAAAGAAATTGCAAGCTGAAGCCAAAATGGCCCTCGCCATGGCCAAACCCATGGCCAAAATGCAAGTAGAAGTGGAAAAACAGAACAGGAAAAAGTCTCCCGTCGCTGACCTAGTAAGTAGCAGACACTGAAACGCAAGCGAGTGCCTGGTGGCTGCCAAGGGCTGGCACTGTCCCGCTCCTTTGCCTGAGTTATGCAAACTTGGGTTTCTCCGAGGCAGTTTGTAAGAAATACTGTCATTGAGAAATGTTTGTTTCCTTTTCCTTTCTGCTGCATCACTGAAAGATACATAAGCAGCAGATTTCACAAAAGTAAACTGTGCTCTTGATTCAGGTCTACTTTGTTTGTTAGGGACAATATTAGCTGTCATGGGACTCTTTAAATTCCTTTAAAGCAATTTCAGTATAAGAATCTATTGGTTGTGGCAGACTCACTACTGCTATGCTCTCAGTCCCACCTTCCAACAAAGACAGTGTAGCATAGTGGATAAGAGCCCGGCACTTTGGAGTTTAAATCTATCTCTGCCACTGCCCTACTATGAGGCTCTGGTCAGGTTACATAACTCTTAGCTTTCTCATCTATAAAATGGGTATAAACAATAACACCCGTGTCAGAGCACATAGCACAGTGCTTGTGGCATGCTACGAATTAATACATAGCTGATATTATTCATTTCATCCATGTCATCGATATTATTTGAGCTCCCCGGTAATTCATTTGTGTATAGAATAATGGACTCACGGTTGTCACAGCCTGTGTAAGAGCCAGTCTGAAAGCTTTTGGTTTGAGTAGGGGAGCATTTTGATGCTGATAGTGTTCCAGACATTGTAGTGCGTAGGGCCTCGTGTTGAGAAAGTTAGACTGGGAAAGCTTTTAAGCCCAGAACTTGAAAGTGGGTGAATGAGAGGCACGGTCTTTATGGGAGAAACTGGGTCTTGGGTTCAATGCACTTGCTGCTCTGTTCACACGTCCATCCCTTCCCTCTGTCTCCGCAGCTGCCACACATGCCTCATATAAGCGAATGCTTGATGAAGAGGAGTTTAAAGCCTGCTGACCTGAGGGACATGACTATTGGGCAGCTACAAGTCATAGTGAATGATCTCCATTCTCAGATAGAAAGTAAGTGTCAGGAGTGCTTGAAAATGGAATAATAAGTGGGAAATGCAATGGGATAGCACCACTTCCTCAATTTAGACCCTTTGTACAGCATTTCATTGGGCTCCTCCTGTGTGTGTGCCTGCAAGTTCTCGTTTTCTCTCTCTCTCTCTCTCTCTCTCTCTCTCTCTCTCTCTCTCTCCTTAGAAATATTCAGAAACTTTAAGAATTTTCAAGGTTAGGTCCTTATTATTTATTTTAAATAGCAAGGACTTGGCAAGTATCTGGCTTGCAACACCTGTTTCTAGAATACAATTTAGTAGTTACAGGTCATTTGTTATACAATGATATCCTCAACTTTACTGGTACATACATTCATTTGGGGTCATCAAATCAAAGTTGACTTATCTGTTGTACTCCTCTAGGTGGTAAGATTAGATAGGACCAATATATGAAAATTACAGGGTGATGAAACGTGGGCCTGTTTCCCCCAGAATAACGGCAGTGGGGAGGGGTAGTGAGTGAGTGGCGCTCGCGCGCACTGATTAGAGGTGCAGAGAAGGTCCGTTGCTTGGCCCGATGAAGGAGAGAGCATTCCCACCTGGGCAGAGTGGTTAGGACAGATGGGCTCACAAATCCTCTGGAACATATGGTGGCACTTACAGATAAAGCCACCTAAGAGATATGCCAACCAAATGCATTCAGACAAACTAACTATAAAAAGCATTTTTAGGAGCTAAGTGGGGAAATTGAACACTGACTAAATGTTTTATTAAAGATTTATTTATTCAGATACGATGAAGATATTGTGGTTGTGGTAATTTTTTTTAAAAAGAGCCCCATAATTTTTTAGAAATATATACTGAAGCACCAACAGATGAAATAATATGATGTCTGGAATTTGCTTTAAAATAGTCCACTAGGAGAAAGGGAGAGAGCTGCGTCAAGATTGGCTAGTTGCCGAAACCGGTTTGGCTCAGTGGATAGAGCGTCGGCCTGCGGACTGAAAGGTCCCAGGTTCGATTCCGGTCAAGGGCATGTACCTGGGTTGCGGGCACATCCCCAGTGGGATATGTGCAGGAGGCAGCTGATCGATGTTTCTCTCTCATCGATGTTTCTAGCTCTCTATCTCGCTCCCTTCCTCTCTGTAAAAAATCAATAAAATATATTAAAAAAAAAAAAAGATTGGCTAGTTGAAGCTAGATGGATGCATGGGGCATTCTTAAACTATGCTCTTTGCTTTTGTATCAGTTTGGAATTTCCCATAATAAAAAGTTAAAAACTTCATATGGGGAAAAAATTCCTATGCACAATGCAGGCACTGTACTGGGTACTAGCATAAAAGCCTACCCCAAGAACACATTGAAAAAATTAGAATTGGACATCTTCAGTGTCAAGTTAATATATTCAGTATTGTTTTAAAATCAAGAAGAGATAAAGAATTCTTTCATCTGCAAAATAACCCAGTCAGAGAAAGACAAATACCATTGATCTCACTAATGTGTGGAATCTCATGAACAACTGGAACTGGAAGCATGGATAATAGATACATGGCACAGGCTGGCAGGAGCCAGAGGGGAGGGCGGTGGGGTGGCTGGATAAAGCAGGCAAAGGTATTAGTAAAGAACATATATGCATGCCCCATGCACAGGGACAATAGTGTGGTGAAGGCCAAGGGACGGGGAGGCTGAGGGAGGAGGAGGGGGAGGCTGAGGGAGGTGAAGGTGGGCAAAGGGGGTTATGAGGGAGTCAGCAATAATGTCAACATACAAAATTTTTAATCGTAAAAATATGTTTAATAAAATAAAATTGAGAGAAGAGTTTCACATTTTAATTAAGAAACCATAGATTCAGGGGATTTCTAAAAATTCTGCATTTTAATTTAGTTGAGTAAATTACTGGGAGTGTTACTCTGTCAAGTGGTATTTTACTACTGAAGCATCTTCCTTGGATTTTTAAATACTAATAAGTTGCCATCTCGTCCTTTTCAGGGGCTGATGATGTGTCAGGCCTCTTTGTATGGTTCTTTCCCTCCCTTTCTTTTTAAAATTGGAAACTAGTCTGAACTAAAGGCAGACAAATGCATCATTTGAAGTCAGGATCTCTAAAAGCATTTCCCAGGGGGACCTGGCTGAGTACCCGCTTCCTTTCTTTGGTTTCCGGGCCCAGCACTCTCGCTAAACGGCTGTTCTCCCCTTGTGTCCATGTGTCCAGACTCACAAGCTTTGATTCTTAGCTGAACTGAAGGGAAAACGCAAGAGAGAACCCTTGCTTGTTCATCCCCTTCCGAGGCAGAAGCCAGATTGACCTGTTCACTGATTTCAGGAAGATGAGAAATGTGTCCTTGCTTTTTTTATTTCCCAGCATAAGCCCTGAGGAATATTTCCCTTGGCACCTGTTGTCCAGAGACTTCGGGGCTGATTTCCTCAGGCCTTACACCCTGGCTTTCCGATCGCTTGAGCTAATACTTTCCCCAGAGCAACCTGCACACGGGGCTGCTCCTTCCTGGGCCGCGGGAAGCCTGGAGCATCCCTGAGGCACCTGAGTCAGGCCCAGCGGCCCCTCCGACTCTCAGTGTGGCAGGTGCAGAGGAAAACTTAATAAACCCCAGACATTTTTGCTCACATTTTTGTTTTTTGTTTTTTAAACAAAACGCCACTTTTTCTAGCAAGCTATTTCCCTAATAGTGAACAGTTTTTCGCATCTAATGTTAATGTATTTGGAAATTCTTTGTACTTTACTCCTTTCCTTCCAACGCTCTTATAATTATGCAGATTAGTCATGTTCTCAAACTGATGGCTCCCCCTGAGCTTACGAGAAGCTCGTATAAAAATTCCAAATTTTAACAGAAATGATATAGATAGATGATAGATAGATAGATAGATAGATAGATAGATAGATAGATAGATAGATCTGTGATACATGTGCCCAGAAATCGATACCCGTTCTGACCTGGATGCAGTCTTACTTGGATGCAGTCCTGCCTGTTTTTAAGTGCTCTCTTCTCTCTGCCCCAGGCTTGAATGAAGAGCTGGTCCAGCTGCTGCTCATCCGAGATGAGCTGCACACGGAACAGGATGCCATGCTGGTGGACATTGAAGACTTGACCAGGTTGGTGATCTTTCGCCCTTTCTAGAGAAGCCCTGGTCTGAAGTTTACGAGTTAGGGCAAGAGCGAGCTCTGGAGAACTCCCTCCCTTCCTCGCCTGGGTTCCTCACCTAATCCCTGCTGGTGTCAGCAGTTTAGATGGAGGGGAAGTGGCCAAAGCTGCTCCTTTCCAAATGCATTGCTTGTCACAGCCGTCCTCCCGGTGTGATGGGCGCCAGGGCACTGGACCGTCGTAGGGCGCACCCAGGTCAGTCAGCGGTTCTGACCCAGGAGGACTGTGTGGCCCCGGGGAGTAGGCTCTAAGCCATTCCAGGCTGGCGAGTTTCCAGCGGATGAGCCGCCACGGGGTGGGTGCCACAAAATGGCACTTGCTGGTTTGTGACCTGACTCTTGATCGCATCTGCTATGCCCAGAAGGCAGGGACACTGGCATCTTTCCACAATACCAGTGCCACCAGATTGCTCTCACCGGGTGGGAGACTCCAGGACTTGAGTCTCTAGCCGGGCCTGGCTCCAAGTGCCTCTCTGTGAAGCTGTAACGGGTGCCTCCTTCCCCAGGGCACAAGGAAACAAGGCTAATGCTGGCCAAGGTCTTGCATTTGTTAGTTTTCCTTGTAGAGAAGCTGAAAGTATAGAAAGTACACAAAATACTGCGAGCATTCCTGGTATCTCACATTTACTTAGGCACCTTTTTATAGACAGTTTATCTGAAGTCTTTAAGCCAGGAGGAAACGGTTGCTATTAATTCCTGAAATGGTGTTCAGAGAGCAGAAGGCTCTCCGAGCAAAGAAAGAACACTGCTTGTCACAATAACATCAGGCATTGGCCACGTGACCCACCACCATCCTATAGGAGCTTGAAAATGTGTATGGTGAAATGGCTCCTGCGGACCCCTTCTCGGTGTGGAACGCTGGGAAAAATATTTTTCTAAATGCAAATGTTATAAAGATAGTGTGGGTGGCAAAATGCATGCCATGGAACTCTGTTTAGGCTTTTTTTTTTTTTTTTAAGACCTATCCAGGGGCAGCACGCTGTTTTGTGTGCTTTGAATATTATACTGCCTCATCCCTAACAAAAAGACAAAAACAAAAACCCAAAAAACCAGAAGGCCTTCCCGTACCTTCTTAGCATATTTGCCTGCATCTGAAATAACACTCAAATTGCAATAACACTCAATAATATTATTGCCATCTACAGATGTATTCAGGCACTGCACCAATAGCTATAAGATACGGCCCTTTTTGTCAATCTAAGAAATTTGCATGCATGTATTAAGATTATGGGAAACCACTCTTGAAGTATACACCCGGGATCTGCATCTTTGAAAAATAGGTGAAGTCTTTGATAAATTTATGATCTGCCTGTGGGAGCAGAGGCTTTTCTCTGCCCCTCAAAGCAGCGTTGACCTCACTCATTGCAAGGAGCACAGTGAGAGGCTCCTCTTCTCTCAATGGGTTAAGTTATTGGGATTGCAGTGTGGTGTTTTGTGTCTACTTTCAGATGGTGCGATCTTGGGAAGCAGGGCAGGCAAAACCAGGAGGTTAAAAGAAGAGCAGTCGCTAATTTAAAGGTGTTGAAGGCATCCTTTAAATTGTAGTCAGTAGGGAGAAGTTTTTATGTCCATTCCCGACTGCTGGGTTTTAACTTTGCTTATGGGGGGAAAGGAGGGTACTTACACGTCCCTCACGGTAGCAGTCCCAGAGCTTTGCAGCCGGGTCTGAACTGGCGAAGAGCTTGGCTGTGGGGCTTTCAGATTGGGCTGCACACTGGAACCCCAGGGACCGTTATAAAGTGTGGATGCCTGGGTCTGACCCCCAGCGATCCTGATTTAATTATCATGTGGCGTGGCCTGGGCATTAGGAGGTTTTAGAGCTCCCCAGGTGATTTCAGTGCACAGCCAAATGAGGACCACTGGTTTGTATGAAGCCTCTTGGCGACGTGCTCCCTGGCTCCCCAAGACTGGGGTAGGACACTCCCATGTGGAGCCTAATCATCCGTGCTACATCGTCTGCTGTCTGTCCCTGCCTGACTGTAAACCCCCTGAAAGCAGAGACGGTGCCATTCTCATTCATTGCTGCGTCCCCATAGCTAAGGACAAGGACTGCCAGGTACATAGTAGGTCCTCAATAACGATTGTTGATAAAAAGGAGTCCTTTAGGGCTTTCCTATAAATAACCGATGAGTACCTTTTAATTGTATGGACTGAAACTCTTTTCCCTCCTTTGTTTAAAATGTTAATGAAATACACCATTTTTAAAACTTATTATTAAGCATAGTTGTTATACAATCTTATATTGGTTATATTAGTTTCTGTACAATATAGTGATTCGACAATTTTATACCTTACAATGTGATCACTCCACTAATTCTAGTAATCATTTGTCACTGTGCAAACTTGTCACAATATTGTCGACTATATTCCCCTCCCCCTTTTCACCCATCCACCTAACCCATGCCTTTTGGTCATCATCTCTTTGGTCTCTGTTTCTATGAATCTATTTTTGTTTTATTTATTTGTTTTGTTTTTAGATTCTACATATAAGTGAAACCATATGGTATTTGTATTTCTCTGTCTGGCTTATTTCACTTAGCCTAATGGCCTCTATCAGTGATGGCGAACCTTTTGAGCTCGGCGTGTCAGCATTTTGAAAAACCCTAACTTAACTCTGGTGCCGTGTCACATATAGAAATTTTTTGATATTTGCAACCATAGTAAAACAAAGACTTATATTTTTGATATTTATTTTATATATTTAAATGCCATTTAACAAAGAAAAATCAACCAACAAAATGAGTTCGCGTGTCACCTCTGACACGCGTGTCATAGGTTCACCATCACTGCTCTAGATCCATCCATGTTGTCACAGATGGCAAGATTTTATTCTTTTTTATTGCTGCATAATATTTATGTGGTGTGTGTGTGTGTGTGTGTGTGTGTGTACCACATCCTTATCCATTCATCTATTGATGGACACCTAGGTTGCTTCCATAGCTTGGCTGTTGTAAATAATGCTGCAATGAACATACGGGTGTTCATTGAATTAGTGTTCTCATTTTCTTTGGGGAAGTACTCATAAGTGGAATTGCTGGGTTGTATGGTATATCTGTTTTCAACCTTGTATATATCTCTCAAAATAATACCCAATTTTAAATATTTCCCAAAGCAATATTCTATCTGTTCTTTTCTTCTTTCTCAGAAAAAAACCCTAACTCTGTGTGTGCATACACGTGTGTGTGTGCGCATACACTCATAGATACATATTTTAAAACTGCCATAAGAACTAGAATTCAGTTAGCAATAGTGGAATCTTAGCTCACTGTGCATCAAACTATTTCTTGAACTGAATTTGTTAAGGGGGGCCCAGGAGCTACTTTATGAATATGATCAAGATTCTTTTATACATAGAATTAGGGCCATGAGTTGGTCTGTTAAAGACCTTTTTTTTTTTTTTTTTTTTTTTAGGGATAGAGGGTATCTTTTTCTTGAGTTTCTTTATTCTTAAATGAATATTACCAATTATTTGTGGGCTGTTGACTGTGGCTAGGACTCTATTGTGACTTCCCTGTTTCTGAACGCATTTGTGGTTTCTGTACCATAGATATGAGACATTCTGCATAGAACAGCGAGTTAAACTTGACGTCATTGACCGCCCAGATGAGGGCAGCACACAAAACTGCCCGATCCTTTGGGTACAGCTGGGAGACACACCCCGAGATGCTTTTCTCTTGCCAAATTTACAATTTCCTAATATCCTTATCTTTCTTCAAAACACGTGTCTTTTGCAGCCTTCAGACCCCACCATTCTCTGAGAAGACGGTTAATTAGTGCCCATGTAAGTGATAGAAGCAGCTTAGCCATTCCTCCCACCTTTTCCACCGACCACCTGCTGGGTGGTCCACACTTTGGGCTCAAAGGCCTTAGTAGGCCTGGATGAATAAGAAGATTCACCCCATCCTACCCCTACCCTCACTGACACGATCATGCCCTTTGGACTATTTGAGGGGGGAAAAGTATAGAAACATGGGCATTCTTGACATCTACAAAAGCCTACCATTTGCTAGGAAGACATTAGCTTTGTAAGAATGGAGTTAGATTGCTGGCTTCCGATTCCTGTCAGGAGCCTTGCCGATGCGTGTGTCTGTGTACACGTGTTCAGATAAAGTAGTCACGAAGTTACTTTCTGTCACCGCCCCCACACCTTGTTTTGACTCTCTGCTTAGCACTTATTTTCTGTCTGCTCACTCCTTGTTTGCTATTTGTTCCTTTCTTGTCTCTCTCTTTTGGAATATTCACTCCGTGAGAACAAAGACCTCGTAGACAACCAAACCCCTCACGTCAGCAGCCGTGCCAGGCACATAGGGAACATTTGTTGAATAAATGATCCCAGAGACTTATCTCTCCTCATTTTTAAACACAGCACTTTAACCGGTCTGAGGTTAATCCAATGGCTCATTAAATAAAAGGACTTGGGCATAGAAAACTGAAAAGGGAAAATCCATTTGAATTAAGATCTATTTCTTGATTTCACTATGAGTAACTGAACCTCAGTTTGGAGGATGTTTTAGCTGTTGATTGGAAAGCAGCTTGGATCTTCCCCCTTCACACTAACCAGTTGATTTATTAATTTTGCAGACATGCCGAAAGTCAGCAAAAGCACATGGCAGAGAAAATGCCTGCGAAGTGAAGAGGAGCCATCCCATCAGAGGACACGCTAGACGTCTTTTTGCTTCTGTGGTTGTAAAAATGCTGTTGTGCAAGGTGGCGCAGAAACAAACAAACATCAGTGTTCGTCATTGATAATGTCTGAAGCTTCATGTCCAGTGATTGGCCTTTGCTTCTTTTTCTTTCTTTTTTTTCCCCACATTTTACCAGATGAATTTAATTGACATTTTTGGAGCATTACACCCCAAAACTGCAGGGCACACATTCCCCTCAACTCACATGGAACACCCTCTAGGACAGACCACATATTAAGCCACAAAACAAGCTTAAATGAACTTAAAAAGATTTAAATCATTCCACACACCTCCCACCCCACCCCCAGCCACAATGGCATGAAAGTAGAAATCAATTAAAAAAAAACACACCTGAAAAACACACAAACACATGGAGGCTAAATAACACGCTACCAAACAGTGAATAGGCTAACAATGAGACCAAGGAAGAAATCAAAAGATACCTTGATCCCTGGCTGTTGTGGCTCAGTTAGTTGAGTGCCATCCAGTTAAATTCCGGGTCAGGGCACATGCCCGGGTTGTGGGCTCAATCCCCAGTAGGAGGCGTGCAAGAGGCAGCCAATATGAAACATCTCTCATATTGATGTTTCTCTCTCTTTCTCTTTTCCTCTCCTTCCTCTCTCTCTAAAATCAATAAAAACATTTTTTTAAAATAAAGATACCTCAAGACAAGTAAAATAAGAACAAAACCCCAAATCCATGAGACACAGGGAAAGCAGTCCCAAGAGGGAAAGCAGCAACAACACGGGCCCACCTCAAGAAACAAGAAAGTTTCAAACCAGCAATGGAACCTTTCACCAGAAGGCAGGTTTTGAATGAGCCCATTGGATTATTTTAAAATGTGTACCATGATCTTCATTGGATTGATTGATTGTTATTATGGAAGTATTCTTTTTTTTTTTTAGTGAGTAAAGTTCACCAAACATAAAAACTACTTTAAAATGAAAAATCCAGTAGCATTTGATACATTTACAATGTTGTGTGATGATCACTTCTATCTAGTTCCAAAACGTTTCATCACCCCAAAAGGCGACCACATACCCATGAAATGGTCACTCCTCATGCCCACCCACAGTCACTGTCAGCCATTTGTCTGATTTCTGTCTCTATGGATTTTCTTATTCTGGAAGTTTCATATAAAAGGAATCACACAATAGAAAAGACAAGTTTTCCCTTAAAAGCATAATGATAGGCAGACCCCTACTAAAATTGAAGAGTAGGTGGTACACAAAATTAAATTCAGAGAAGGAAAATCAATTTCACAAGAGAGCACTTCATCTTGAAGTCTTCATCATGTGACGTAGGCCAGGAGTTGATTAATTCCAGGTTTGCTGAAAGCCCAGAAACAGTGTCCACAAGCTGGAGTTTTGTGCAGCCTGTTCTGCTCCTTAGTCTCCAGAACTCTCGTTCGCTGTCCTTGAATTTGTTTTTCCTGATACTTGGATAGATTCCTGTAGACCAAGGTTGCTACTTTCAGCACACTTTTTAGGTCTTCTTCATTCTAAGTTAGTTGGTCTTTGCTTTCCATCTGATCGACTTTTGTGCCTCTATTTAATAAAAATTCCACCATTTGCTCTTTGCTTTCCTTTAGACTCTAAAGGAAATTTGCTCTTTGCTTTTCTTTAGGCTCCTTAAGTGAAAGTGGTCCGAGGTCATCCTCGTGTCTTTCTTCCATATCTGCCTTGTGTGAAAGCAGCTCTTCTACTATAGCTATATTTTGACCACTGGCAGCACAGTGGAGAGCAGTGTTGCCGTCGATGCCCACTGCATTTGGACCAGCACCATGGTCTAACAGAAGAGTTGCCCAGTCCTCTTCCTGGCATCGTATGGCCTTAATGAGAGCTGTTCTGTTTTCATTGTTACAGGGGTACAACAGGCATTTTCCGTCTGCTAGGAGGGAGAGTAGCCATTCCCAGATGGCCATTGGCGCAGGCCGGATGTAGAGCAGCCCTGTTCTTCTTGTCTCTATCATTCACGCCACTTCACCTGAACAAGACAATTCTTCACTCTCCATACGTTGCCCAGGCCGGCAGTTTTGTGCATAGGCATTTTCTGTTGGCTAGGGGAGAGAGTGGCCACTCCCAGATGGCCATTGGCACAAGCCAGACCTAGAGCAGTCTTTTTCTTCTTATCTCTGGCATTCAAGCCACTTCACCTGTTCTGCTCCTTAGTCTCCAGAACTCTCGTTCGCTGTCCTTGAATTTGTTTTTCCTGATACTTGGATAGATTCCTGTAGACCAAGATTGCTACTTTCAGCACACTTTTTAGGTCTTCTTCATTCTAAGTTAGTTGGTCTTTGCTTTCCATCTGATTGACTTTTGTGCCTCTATTTAATAAAAATTCCACCATTTGCTCTTTGCTTTCCTTTAGACTCTAAAGGAAATTTGCTCTTTGCTTTCCTTTAGGCTCCTTAAGTGAAAGTGGTCCGAGGTCATCCTCGTGTCTTTCTTCCATATCTGCCTTGTGTGAAAGCAGCTCTTCTACTATAGCTATATTTTGACCAGTGGCAGCACAATGGAGAGCAGTGTTGCCGTCGATTTCTGTCTGCTAGGAGGGAGAGTAGCCATTCCCAGATGGCCATTGGCGCAGGCCGGATGTAGAGCAGCCCTGTTCTTCTTGTCTCTATCATTCAAGCCACTTCACCTAACAAGACAATTCTTTACTCTCCATACGTTGCCCAGGCCGGCAGTTTTGTGAACAGGCATTTTCTGTTGGCTAGGAGGGAGAGTGGCCACTCCCAGATGGCCATTGGCACAGGCCAGACCTAGAGCAGTCCTTTTTTACCCTTACCTCTATCATTCAAGCCACTTCACCTGAACAAGAGAATTTTTCACTTTCCATATGTTGCCTGGGCCGGCAGCTTTGTGGATCTTTCCCAGATTTTTGTCTGGAATGTGGTAGTGAGCCCTCTGTCTCCCACGCCACTCCTCCCGGGCTGGCGGAGGAGCCCAAGGGCAACACGTCCAGCCTCCTCCGAAAGGTAAACCTCTCTTTCACACCAGAGCCCACGAGCTTCAGAGAAGCCTTGCCTTCCCTCCGCTTTTCTCGACTCCTGAGCCCAATACTCTCTCTAGATAAGCCGACCACCTCACGCCACAGCATTCAAGCAGGGCAGTTTCCTGGCCTTTGCTTCTTAATTTATTTTAATTTTTTTTACTGTGCCACTAAATAGCAGGCATTTTAATAAAATATTGTTACAGAAATGTACAGTGCTTACACCATCACAAAATCCAAAAGGGTAGTTTTTATTTTTATTTGTTTAGAGATTTTCAGTTGGAGCAGTATTTTACCATTGACTACTTTCATTCTTCACTGTAGTTTTAAAGAACTGTAAATGACGGTGCTATACAAGTCAAAAATCCATGCCTGCCTCGTAGTGAAGTTGTAGCTCTCCGTAATATGTATATTTGAATCAGTTTTCAACATTTTGTGAATGTTGACTACCTGAAGTTCATTTTTAGATGTGCTATTAACATTCTGTTGGATTCAGAGGGTTCCTTGAAAGTTTTATGTATAAATATGTAAAATAAAAATTAAAACTTTGTTTCATATGATATGTCTTTTTGCTCACTAGCAAGCCCTACCCTGGCTATATTTCTTCCCTTTTCACTCTTCCTCAACCATATTCCCCACCAGGAATTTTTTTATAGTTTTAACCACTTCTACTGGTCTCATGAAGAAAATTGCCAAGTCTAAAGAAGTAGGTTACAGGTTATTTTATCAGTGAATAAATGAAGTGCTCTCCAGAGGACAAGCAATACAGTGATTTGCCAACAACATGGGGAAGAGTGTGTGTGGGGGCTGGGGTGGGGGGGGAGGGGAGGACTGCGTAAGAATTCTTGAGGGTATGTGTGAATGAGCGTGTGCGTGCGCGCGCGCGTGTGTGTGTGTGTGTCTGTGTGTCTGTGTGTGTGAATGAGTGTAAGTGTATGTTTGTGAGGGTATGTATGAATCAGAATGTATGTGTGTGTGTGACAACATCCAAGCTGGTGCTTCTGTTATTGCTCAGAGTTACTAATCTGGAATTCCAGCACTGCACCATTTCACAGCTGCTGGTCTTGTTAGGGCCCATGACTGCATCAAAATTCCTTTTACCAAATTTGCCACATGAATGCACAATGCTTGCACTCATGCTTTTCTTCAGGCCAGCTGTGGCCATTTTTCCAATTTTAATCACTTCCACTGGTCTCATGAAGAAAAATGCCAAGTCTAGCCCAGCGTGGCTCAGTGGTTGAGCGTTGACCTATGAACCAGAAAGTCACGGTTCAATTCCTGGTCAGGCACATATCTGGATTGCAGGCCCAATCCCCAATGTGCAGTGTGCAGGAGGCAGCCGATCAATGATTCTCATCGATGTTTCTATCTCTCCCTCTTCCTTCCTTTCTGAAATCAATAAAAATATATTTTTAAAAAATGAAAGAAAAATGCCAAGTCTAAAGAGTATTCTTCAGTAAGTAGAGAGCTTCAGAAAATCTAAATGATTAGCTAGTATCCATGTAGGTGTTATGGAACAATAAACTAAACCAGAAATGAACAATCAACATTCCAGAACCACCCACAGACCACCTGGTTGCACTCGAAGGTCCATGATGTAACCTGAAAATAGAAGTTTAGACAACTGTCTACACTTTCCTTTCTTAAAAATACCCAGCTAGATAGTGCCCTCAATGGTCCTGGATCTGTCTCTTGCTTCAACAGTGTTTGCATGGAACAGACCCCAGGGATGCCCCTCTTCCAGCGTCTTAGTCACCACCTTCAGAACCACCTCGGAGACCAGCCGATATAATGTTTTTTTCCTACCTTAGCTCCTTATTGCCGAACAACCATAAGCTCCCAAATTCATCAGAATTATTCCAACTGGATGGAGGCTGCAGTCAACCGCCCAGCCAGCCTGCATCTGCAGGCCTTCCACACCTACCTGCCTCTGGACGATGTGGTTCTGGAGGGCTGGGGCCACTTCTTCCTTGAGTTGGCGGAGAAGCATAAGGCCTCTGAGCATCTCTTAAAGGTGCAAAACCATATCGGTGGCTGCATTCATCTGGGTTGATCCCAGCCCTGAGAATCTAGGCCTGGCAGCTGGGTGAGAATATTGGTCAGCAAGCAGTGACTCCCATCTTTAGCTGCACAGGGAACCACCTGGGCATCTTAGCAAGGACCAGGGCCTGGGTTCCACCCCCAAAGGTACTGATTTAATTGGTCCAGCATGTGGCCTGGGTATCAGGATTTTTTTTTTAAGGTCCCTAGGTAATACTGATGCTAAGAATACTGATGCTACCTTGGACTGTCTTCCTTTTTAGCTTTTCTTTAAGCAATTTTGAGTATCTAGTTTTTTGGTTTTTTATTAAATTTATTGGGGTGACATTGGTCAACATGAACATATGGGTTTCTATGTTACAACATCTGTATATTGCCCCGTGAGCCCATCACCCAAAGACAAATTCTAAGTTTTTCTAATTAAAATGTATAACTATTAATTTGGACTTCTTGGGAGA